TTAGATCAATGAAACATTACAAAATACCAAAATAAACTAACAAATCTTGATTAAATGTTTAGCGTCAATCAGCAACATCTATTGATAGGTATAAGTGAAGAGAACACCCACATTCTTAATTATTATTTAATACAGGAGAGTAATAATCAAAATAGGGCGACCACATGCAATCAACTATCATAGCACAAGGAACAGAGAATTGATTAGGCCGCTTTTTACATTAAAGTGAAGTAGCGCCATATAGATATTTTGTATGTATAGCATATATTTTTAAGTATTTTTCCTCCTAATCTTTGCACTTTTGGTCTTTGAGTGTGGGTGCGTGTATGGGTAGGTATGAAATTCGTTTCATTGCCACCCACACCTTCATCTGCAAATGCTATCTAAAATATCATAAGATTCGGAAGCATATAACGTTTAGAGGTGTTAGTCGATCGTTTTTCGGCGGCGGCGGCGCGTCAAGTCTGCCGAGAAAACCGTTTTCAGCGGCGGCGGCGAAATTATTCGTGCGTCGTTTCCGTTTATTCGTGGTTCCCTACTCCTAAAACAAACATTACACGTTCCGTTCTCAGAGAAATATAACGTTATATACCTCCTTCAACGTGGATCTCCTTTTCTAAAAAAGATTTTTCACTATACGTCAGTTTATTTTCATCACATCAAGACTTTCAATGTTTTAAGGTACAATAAGTTGAAAAATACCAATAGCGTATGCTAGAAGCAGAAGTAATAGTAGTATCATTTCAATCTACTTGTTTGTCAAAGCAAATTTTGCAATAAATAGTATTGTTATCGATCGCTTCTTTCATTTTTAATGATGTCAGTTGACCGAAGTATGACTATGCAAGAGATTGACCGGTCTTGAAAGAGCGGAGCTTGATGTAAACATCTCAAACACAGTGCGTCATTCTAGCAGAATAATCAGTTTTCCTCACCAGCCAGATATTATACAATATTAACAAGAATATCAGTTGTGTCACTGAATGTGCAATGCGAACGCAACTATTTATATGTTTCATACCTTTTGTTCTCTCGCCTAATTGATTATTCAGAAAAGGAAGAAGTTTGAATTAGAGATTCTAATTCGATCGACGGCGGCGGCGGCGAAAAATTCCTCGCCGGAACTCCTTCTTCGGCGGTGGCGGCGAAAAATCGACGACTAACACATCTAATAACATTATACTTTAGCTGCACTTTTAGCTAAATGCTTGCTAATGAAACTTTGTTGCTGATACTTCATATGTTCCCAAATTCTTTAGTAAAACTGATGTATAGTATGAGTCCTGTATTTGTCTTCTTCAACTTATTTTTACAGTCAGTCTGCTCCAAATGAGAACAGCTGTCCTTCCAATTGCGTTGGCTTACGGAGGTTTCACTTCTCATTTTGGTTTTTGAGAGACTATCAAAGATCTTCTGCAACTAAAATTTCGAATCGTCTATGCTAGACCTAAAGAATAAGTGAACTTAAATAAGAATCCATTATTGATAGCAAAGCTATACATACAGTCAGGTGAAAGAGACCTAGTTTCATACTCCTCTGTATGCTGCACATATGAATAATTATGTTCAAGATGAAATAAAATGTCTTGGTATCTGCTTCAGTCCTCTTTTGGCTGGTACCCAAATGAGTTTCAGCCTTCTTCCAAGTGGAAGACAGATCGACCATTACATCATATCAAAGGGTGTTGCTGTCACCAGTGAAATGGATATTACAGTGCCTCTACTTTGGCGTAAAATAGTGTAACATATTAACTTTTAAGATGGCAACTGCTTGATGATCGATCGAATAGCAGAATGATCTGGTTGCACTCAGAAGTCAAAGGAGAGTGGTACGCAATGTATAGGCTCAACATGAAGCCGCGGACTACTATTATAGTAGACACTGCTGAGGAATGCACTTGTATTCAGACTCTTTTTGATAGAGATGGCATGTGTGTATTTGGTCGAGAAAAATTGCTTTGATCATGAAATCATCTTCATAATAATCACCAGATTTATGTTCTCTTTGATTTATTTAAAGCAATTAGTTAATGTTTGATTTTGCTCGACTCTTTTGAAGATCCTATTTTTGCATACTCCATAAATTTCATGGTGCGCGCATGAAGCTGATGGAAAGTTTCGTACATTTGGAAAAGAACAATCCTCTTCCTTCAACTCGATCGGATTATTCGTTGCTTTAGGGAGAAAACACTATGGCATTTTTATCACTTGTATCATACATAGATTTTAGATGAAGAGATCATGTACTTTTCCGCTCATTACAGCCTTTGATATCTTTTGGACAAGATCTAGCGAAAGTGGGCTTCATCAGAATTGATACAACCATTGTATCGGAACGTGAAGGGTCCCCAAGAATAATCTTAGTTCTAACAGTTGAAAATAATGATATATGCATGTGAGGCTTGAGTCTCCTCTGATTCAGTTTACCTTTTTCTCCTGCGCTTCTTTATTTTTTCAGTTTTCGTTCTATAATAATGCACTGTAGCAGTCTCATGCAAGTATCTCAAAACTTATCGCCCGCTTCGTTGTTCTATTTTACTTGTGCTTCTTCGAACATGGGATGACTTGCTAGTGTTATCAAAGGTAGTGATAAAGAATAGTAGAGCCAACAAGATTGCAACACAATCTTTAAAACACATAACTTTAAATAAATACATCAGCAAGCAAGTGACTGTGAGATAATCGAACGATACGACGTTTATTTCTATTTTTTCAGCTTACAGCTTTACGTCTTAATTCCATCTTCTGACATCCATTGATAGATGGCAAACAGCACAAAGAGCCCCGCTGAAGACTCACAGGGATCTTCACTCTCTCAGTTTCTTACCACCCTCGCAGTCTCCGGGGCTATTGCTACTATCGAAATCATCATATTTGTTATTATTAGAACAATGTTCAAACGTATCTATGAGCCGAAAACATACCTTGGAGATGAAAACCGACGCGTCAAGCCTTTGCCACGCACACTTTGTGGTTGGCTACCTGCCCTATTGAAAATGCCACAGGAAGATCTTATTCGCACTTCTGGTCTCGACGCCTACTTTTTCGCTCGCTACATCTACGTTCATGGCATTTTCTTTCTGAGTTCTTTTGCCCTTTTAGCAATCGTTTTATTTCCTATCTATGTTGTTGATGGAAAGGGTGAATCCTACGGTAAAAATGGTTTGGACGTACTGACTTTTGGTAATATTTCGCCGCGGTATTCCTCTCGTTACGTAGCTCCTTTGGTACTTGCTTATGTTTTTATCGGTGCATTTCTCTATCTTCTATACATAGAAATGAAAGCTTTCGTTGAAAAACGCCAAGCACTCCTGAGAAGTCCTGCATATCAATCCCGCGCCAGTGCTACAACTATTCTTGTTGCTGGAATACCTAAGGCATATATGTCGCAAGATGTTCTCTTCCGAATCTTTAATCAATACCCAGGGGGAGTGAGACGCATCTGGTTGAATCGGAATCTCAAAGATCTTCCTGACAAAGCAGATAAGCGAAGCAAACTCGTGGAAAAACTTGAGACAGTCGAATGTAAATTGATCAAAGATGCACTTAAAAGTGAAGCCAAACGTCAGAAAAAGTTCAGTTCGACAGAAGGTTCTGTATTAATCGAAGAAACTGTAACAGACCTCGAGCATGATATCTTCTCCAAATATATTCCGGAAAAGAAACGACCCACCATGAAGATTGGGCCTATTCCGGTGCTTTCTTCTTTATTCTTCGGCAAGAAAGTCGATACAATCACATACTATAAGGAGACTATTTCTCAATTAAATACAGAGATCGAAACGGCGAAAGCATCTTCACACAATTATACAGTCATAAATTCTGCATTCATTCAATTCAATAAACAGATAGCAGCTCATATGGCCGTTCAAAGTGTTATGGCCTCGCTTCCATTAGCAATGACACCTTGTTACAATGATATGAAGCCAGCGAATATCGTTTGGTCAAATTTAAAGCTGACCTACTATGAGAAGACAGCCAGAGAACTCGCCATGTTGGCTGCAACGACGGCTCTCATTGTGTTTTGGTCATTTCCTGTTGCCTTTGTAGGTGTTCTCTCAAATCTAACATACCTCACAAATAAGTTGACCTTTCTCCGGTTCATTTACAAATTGCCACACGCTCTTCTAGGCATAATTACCGGTCTTTTACCATCTGTTCTCTTAGCTGTTTTAATGGCATTGCTCCCTGTCGTGCTAACATTCTTCGCAAAAACGTCTGGAATTCCAACTACAGATGCAATTGATCGTTATGTACAGGGATCGTACTTTGTTTTTCAAGTTGTTCATGTCTTTCTAGTCGTTACTATTTCAAGTAGTGTTTCAAGCGTTGCAACAACTATCCTTGAAAACCCGTCTAGTGCCGCAACAATACTTGCTGCAAATATTCCAACGGCAAGCAATTTTTTCTTCAGCTTCTTGGCATTACAAGGATTAAGCATAGCATCTGGAGTGTTGTTGCAAATTGTTACACTTATTTTATTTTATTTGCTGGCAACATTATTCGACAATACACCACGAAAAAAGTGGAAAGGGTACTTTACACTCGGTAGTCTCAATTGGGGAACGATATTTCCTATTTTTACAAATTTCGTCGTCATTAGTCTAGTTTACTCGATCATTGCACCTCTGGTACTAGTCATTTCTGGGTTCGCTTTCAGCTTATTTTACATTGCCTACATTTATACATTGTTTTACGTTTCGGATTTTCCAAACGATACTGGTGGTCTTGCATTTCCGAGAGCAATTTATCAATCATTCACAGGCATCTATCTCATGGAAATTATGCTTGCCGGGCTATTCTTCATGGCACGCAATGAATCTGGTTCGCAATTAGCCATTCCTGAAGGTGTGTTAATGTGTGTGTTGATCTTTGTCACGATTGGCGTTCAACGGATGATGAGCTCGAGCTTTGATACTCTGACTCGATATTTGCCTGTCGATGCAGAAGAATTTCCACTACTAGAAATTCCTGTCTCTAGAAAGCTTGAATTAGCGAAAATGGCGATCCATGCTTTGAATCCTCCTAGAACGAGTAGTGATATTGGCACAGTCAGCCATATAAGTGATGCTGTGAATGAACCGAACGATAATACAATGGAGAATGCATACATGCATCCGGTGATGCGGGATCCCAAACCAATAATCTGGATTCCGCAAGATAATTTAGGTATTGCAGCAGATGAAGTACAGCAGACTCGTGCTTCTGGATTGGATATTTCTATGTCAACTGACGGAGCACGATTCAATGAAAAAAAGAACATTGAGATCGATGGTGCGCCTCCAGATTATGTTAGAACAGCAGAATAATACAACGCTCGAACTTGATTTTAGAAAAATGAGTTGTACAAAGAATGATATAAGTTATCCTTTATGATAGTTTCAGTTACTTACGTTATATGATGTTCTTGAATAGACGATCCATGAAAGCACTACCAAAACTCTTTTATGTTGAAATTGAATGTTCAGTCTGAAAGCCTGCGCAAAATGAGCGAAAAATCGTTAAGAAGTAATAAATTTATGTTTTTGTTTTTCAGTTTTTGCCCGTTCTTTTCTATTTTGTAATTTTCTTTTTCTCTTTACATTATATGTATTTTTATCATTCTATCATGTGCATTTTCTCTTGCTGGCTTATGATCAATTCTTTCTGGGTGTAGGTGTGGAGTGTGTTTGTGTCAGGAAGAGAAGAGAGACACCAAAATGATGTGAAATGTGGAAACGGGTATGTGAGTGTGAGTTGTGCCAAATGATTAAGAAAACACCCACAACCAGTTTCGTTTTATGTAAGTATGTTGCGCGTGAAGATTGAGAAGAAAAACATTTCGAGACACTGGAACTGATGAAAAAAGACCAAATTATGTTACTATATTTGGAAAACGAATTCTCTTTTTTAATATGGAAAATACCTTGTTCAAATATCCATTCAGTTTCTCTCCAAAAAAGTCTTAGTTTTATTACATATCATCATCATCATGTCCCTTAGGCTTAGCGCCCGTTGGGGCCAACCATTTACGGGATCAGATTTTTCCATGCCCGCCGATCTTGCGCAAGGTGGAACAGGTCATGTCCACTGCGCTGACACCATTCTGTTATGTCATCTAGCCATTCTCTGCATGGACGTCCCCTTCGAGATTTTCCGTCCATTTTACCAAATATTAGATGTTTTATTAGTCTGCAATCGTCCATTCTGCAGATGTGGCCAAATAACCTTAGTTTCCTCTTCTTGATGATGTCTATTATGGTCTCTTCCTTTGATATCTTTATCCTGATATCATCGTTTCGTACCATATCCTGCCAATTAATTCTTAGAACCCGTCGGTAACATTTCATTTCGAATGCCAATAGTTTTTTCCTGTCTGCTTCTTTTAGGGTCCATGTCTCTGACGCGTATAATAGGACACTGAACACACATGTGGTTAGGATTCTAAGTTTATTTTCTAGCTTCAGTTTCTTGCTATTCCATATGTGTCTTAAAGAAGCCATTGCACCTGTCGCTTTTCCTATTCTCCTTTTTATTTCCTCTGAACAGTTATTATCCCATGTCAGCAGACTGCCTAGATATTCAAATTTTTCCACGTTTTCTACGGTGTTTCCTGCTACTTGGATACTATTATCGATATTCCTGTCTCCAAATACCATGGTTTTGGTCTTATTTATATTTAAGATTAGTCCAGCTTGTTCAGCAGCTGTTTTAGTTAGCTCTATTTGGCGTTGAAGTGAGCTAACGTCTTCATCGATAAGATCAATATCATCGGCGAATCTCAGGTTATTTATTAGTATGCCGCTAATATTGATTCCACAGGTGTTCTGTCTCACCTGGTCCATTACTCGCTCGAGATATGCGATGAAGAGGAGTGGTGACAGAGGGTCGCCTTGTCTAGTTCCTACATCTGTTCGAAACCACTCTCCATTATCTTTACCAATGCGAACAGCTGACTGTGACTTTTCGTAGATCTTCTGTAGCAGAGTGACCATCTTTGTGTCGACACCATAGGATTTTAGCATAGCCCAAATAATTTTATGTTTGATCGTATCGAATGCTTTTTGAAAATCTATAAAGCAGTTGTATATTTTCTTGCCCTGTCTTTTTGCCTTTTCAGCCAATAGTCTGAGCGTTAATATTTGATGTACGGTACTCCTGTCTTTTCTGAACCCTGCCTGTTCTTCTGAGAGGTACGGATCCAGATGATTTTTTAATCTATTTAGCAGTACTATTAGGAGTACTTTTCCTGTATGATTAATAAGAGAGATCGTTCGGTAGTTTGAGCAATTACTGAGGTCACCTTTTTTTGGTATAGGTACCAATATAGATTTGCCCCATTCTTCTGGAATCGTACCTTCATGCCATGCTTTGTTACAGAGTTTGTGGATTTGTCGTGATAGCGGTTCGCCCCCAGCTTGTAGCATTTCCGCTGTTACGCCGTCTGATCCTGGACTTTTATTTCTTTTCAATGAATTTATCGCTGCTTGTACCTCTGAGTACAAGATATCCTGAGGATCTTCGTTTCCTGGAGGTGCAATGTCTTCAAGTTCTTTTACCATCCCGTCTCCGCCTCCAGGATCTTTATACAGACTGCTGCAATACTGTGTCCACCTTCGTTTGATGTCGTCATTTCTCTGTAACATTGTTCCCTCTTGATTTCGTATGACATTTAATCGAGGTACAAATTCTTTTCTTAACATTTTTATGAGGCCATATGCTTCTCTTGTATTTCCAATATTTAGACCTTTTTCAGCTTGCTCGCATTGGTCTTGTATCCAATGTTCTTTGTCCTGTCTTGCTGATCTCTTAACTTTCCTACATAGGCCTTTATATTGTTGTGTATATTCTAGGGAAACGTTTCTTAGTTGTTTTAGTCTGCGTTTTTCGTCAGCTAGTTTTAGTGTCTCTTCAGAAATCCATGGCTTTTTTGTTATTCTTTTTGCAGGTACAGTTGCCTCTACTGTAATTTTGATTGCCTGTTCTATTTTTTTGGCATGTTCTTCCAGACTACATGTTGGCTCTATATCTTTCATTTGTTTCGCTAGAGCAGCGCTGTATGATTGCTTTATTTTCTCATCTTTCAGTCGGTTCACATCAACTCTACAGCATTTCTGTGGTTTGTTGTGCGGTTTTTTAAGTTTCAAGTTGATATTGCACAACACTAGTGAGTGATCTGAGTCTATGTCTGCACTCTGAAATGTTCGACAGTTGGTGACTGAAGTCTTCCATCTTCGCTGGATGAGAATCAAGTCAATCATATTCTTGTGAATGCCATCTGGTGATGCCCAGGTCCATTTTCGATTTGGTTTATGTTCAAATTTTGTATTACATACGTAGAGATCGTGCACTGTCGCAAATTCTAGGAGGCGTTCTCCGCGTTCGTTTCTATCGCCATACCCATATTTTCCCATCACGGATTTCCAATCTGTATTATCATTACCAATTTTAGCGTTCCAATCTCCTGTCAGGATAAGTATATCCTTTTTATCTGTCTTTGTTAATGTTTCCTCAATATCGTTATAGAATGTTTCAATATCTTCTTCTGAAGATGAGGAGGTTGGTGCATATACGTGTATTACTGAAATTTTAAATGGTGCTGCATCGAATCGTGCCGAAATTATTCGTGAGCTGGTTGGATTGTATCCTATTAATGCCTTTTTTGCTTGTGTGCTTAGTAAGAACCCCACACCCCTCATATGTGAGGATTCTTCTCCTGACCAGATGAAATCTCCATTCGGTGTTTCACCTTTTCCTGTCCATCGCACTTCTGAAATACCAATTATGTCGTATTTGAAACGTTTCATTTCATTTCTAAGTAATTCTAGCTTGCCAGCAGTCCATAGTGTCTGCACATTCCATGTTCCTACTGTCAGAGTATTTTTGGCAAGTTTTAGTTTTTGCGTGTTTTTTGTCGTATATGAATTCTTTCCAGTCGCCAATTTTTCGACTCTGCCCTGGTCACTCGACAGAGGACGCGGACCTTGTTTTCCCGGGCGCCGTCCGAGCCGGTATGGTTTCGTGTTGAAGTCGTTCATGGTTGGTTTCTGTCGTCTTGTTCGTTTTACAGACGGTGGTATCTGCACCCCTCCCGTCCAACGCTCCTCCTTTATCCGGACTTGCGACCGGCACAGAAGCCGCTGGATTGCGGTCTCTATGGTGGAGTTTTTATTACATATAATCTTGTCTATTTGTGCTGTACAACTATATTTAAAAACGTATAAAAGAAAAATTTAGTCGGCTTCGTGATTTAACTTTAGCTTTTCTAACTATATATAAATACATTCTTATCAGCAATTGACAATACTCAAGAGATCGTTCCTTAACCACGCATTGTTACTTAAAAACATATACTTGGTAGATTTTGTTTTTTATACAAAGCAATACCAATTCGTCTATCAAATCTACTTAGAGACGTGAATTTGTTTTATTTTTCAAAAGAAGAACTGGTTACTATAACATGATTATTAAAACTAGATTGAACACATTTTTTTTAGAAATACAATAGATATCTTTCATTTCATTTATATTTATCTTTCAAAATGAAGGAAAAACATTAATCGATAGAATTTATTGTATTATCATTCTACTATAGAATAAGTATTAGTAATGTAATACTTGTTTTATCATTGATTCAAAAATATACGAATAAATAAATTTATTTAAGAATGAAAATGTTAAACATGAGGTTTTGTACTATTCGCAATTCTTACAATTACTTTGATTGTCTCTTATATGAGATTAAACATGATTTTGTAAAACGAATATAGATGATAGTTTTTATTATATTGATAATGACTTATTCCAATCAGACAACGTTGCAGGACATAAGATCTTCAAAATGATATTTGAATCATGTAAGACAAAATCCAAAAAACATTGTACTGAAATACATGAGCTATACAAATAATTTGAGATCAGGGTGTTTTTTGTTCATTTCATTTCATTTCTACGGGAAAAGCTGTGATAAGTTATATTAACAGTGCATCAATAAGTGACATCCAAACACTTATTGTGAATATTTTGTGAAACTCATATATTTTCGAAGAAAATAATATCGGTAACTTTTGATTCAAGTCTTAGCACTTCTCCGTGCAAAAAAGAAAAAAAATGTTTGCAATGAAGAAATAAGACAACTATGGCCTACGAGAGTTTTCACTTTACATATTTTGTATTAATTTAATGAGGCTATAGAATTTATGCAAGTTGCACATTTCAGCCCTAGAGGAAGTGCGCTAATAAAGCCCCCGGCATATTAGAAGACCCGGGGTCTTCTATTTTGTCTTATCGTTCATAAGTTACAAGGGAGATCTTCTAATATGTCCCTTAA